TAGATAGATAGATAGATAGATAGATAGATAGATAGATAGATAGGACGGTAGGTAGGTAGGTAGGTAGGTAGAGAGAGAGAAAGAGAGAGAGAGAGATGGTAGAGATAGATAAAAATAGATAGATAAATAGATAGAAATAGATGATAGATAGATAGAAATAGATGGTAGATAGATAGATAGGTAGGTAGGTAGGTAGGTAGTAGGTAGGTAGATAGATAGAGAGAAAGAGAGAGAGAGAGATGGTAGAGATAGATAAAAATAGATAAATAGATAGAAATAGATGATAGATAGATAGACAGACAGACAGACAGACAGACAGATTTCTGTAAACAGGAAGGGAGGGGGGCGCTGGAGGGGCTGAAGAGGGAGGGGTCTGCTGTTGTCATGAGAACCCCAATTTCTCTTCTTGAATTTGTGAAGGTTGAACAAGACACGGCAAACAACAGCCTGTCTCCCATCTGTGCTGCTGAAACAGACAAAGTAGGCTGTCTTAGCACGATTGTAAATCCCATTTATCATTAGCCTTGGGGAGACCCCTTCGAGAAGCAGAGCCTGCCCAGCCAAGAGCAGTCTACCTGGGGAAGGGGGAATAGGCACTCCAGGGTCTTGAAAAGGACTCCTTTTTTTAAAAAAAAGTCTTTACTGTACATACCTTCTGCAGACATCATCGTTCTACTATATATTTTATATATATATTATCCGGCTGATGAATAATAGAAGAGAAACAGCTTAACGCACCCGCTATGTCTAACACACAGATTGTATCTGCCAATATTTAAGATGCAAATGGATTTTTTGGGGTTGGGTGTGTGTGGGGGGCTCTACAAGTGTAATGAGCTCATGGGAAGGAAGGGAGGGAGGGAAGGAGGGAGGGGGGAAGGAGGATAGGAGGAGGAGGAGATGGAAGGAAGGGTGGGAGGAAGGGAGGGAGGATAGGAGGAGGAAGAGATGGATGGAAGGAAGGAAGGAGAGAGGAGAGGAGGAGGAGATGGAGAAAAGGAAGGAAGGAATAGATAAACGGAGATGGAAGGGAAAAAGGAAGGAAGGAATAGATAGAAGATAAACAGATGGAGATGGAAAAGGAAAGAAGGAACAAGTAAATGGGTGAAGATGTAAGAAGGAAGGAAGGAAGGAAGGAAGGAAGGAAGGAAGGAAGGAAGGAAGGGATAAACAGATGGAGATGGAAGGGAGGAACAGATAAATAGTTGATGGGAGGAAGGAAGAAGGAAAGGAAGGAATAGATAGATAAACAGATGGCGGTAGGAAGCAAGGAAAGAAGGAATGGAAAACTTGAACATATGATGCTATCTTTTCTCCTCCTTCATTCTCCCCACCTGCTTTTCCTACCGTTCTTTTTTCTCCTTGATCGCCCGACACTCTGATCTTCCTTTTCAGAGACAGCCCTGCGGAAGTGACGGACGGGGTTCCGGCTTCTCATCCCTTTCTCTCCGTGCGCTCCGGAGCCATGCAGTCTCCCAAACAAAGCCTGGTTTGCAACTTAAACCACGTTCACTTGCAGCACGTCTCCTTGGGGCTGCACCTCTCCAAGCGGCCGGAACTTCAGGACGAGGCCAACACCTTGGCGCCCTCCAGGGAACAAGCGGTCTGCCACGAATGCGAGGAACATGGCGGTCACCTGGTGCCAAACCTGGTGGACGCCAACTCCAACAACCCCTCCTTGACTTGCCGGTGTTGTGAGGCTCACCCAGTCTCGCCTGAGGTCAAGCGGGGCCTCCAGACGCCATCTTCCTTGACCAACTGCCCAACTGCGAACCATGAAGAAGAAGAAGAGGTTGAGGAAGAAGAAGAAGAAGAGGATGAGGATGAGGAGGAAGCATCTCCTTCAGACCCTACTTCTTCGTCCATCAGCAGCTGCTCAGACCTCAGCCTGGACGAGTCTCCCGTCTCGGTGTATTGCAAGCCCTTCCCTGCTGAACAGGCCCGAAGTCCGGAAAGCCAACCCAATATCGTCCCCTTGGAGGACACACAGAATGTTCTGGTCCACCCCCAAGAGAGAGGTCCAAACCTTAATGTCCCCTTGGGTGAGCATCCTGAGGCCCATATCTGGGACAGCCCAGATAGTCTGTACAGCAGCAGCTCCCCGGATTCTCCATCTGACCACTCTCCTCCTTGCCCGGAAAGCCTACTTAGATCGTCCCAAGTTGGGTCCATCAAAGTTCCTCCTCTCGTTCCACCCCCTGTCCGCCCTTGCAGGGCACCTCCTGCGGTGCCGGTGGTCCCCCCGCGTGGGCCGGAGGTGGATTCCAACTGCAACGCTCTCCCAGCCCAGGAGGTCAAGCCCAACACCGTCTCCTTGGGGCAAGTGGACATCAACTCGAACCGGGCCACCGGACCGGTGGGGTCTCGTTTTGGAGGCGTGCCTCCTCCGATTCCTCCTCGGACCAAGAGGGGCCTTCAGGGCTTGAGAAGAAGTGAAGGGGGGAGGCCATCTCCTGAGCCGGTCCCTCCTGCACCAGTTGAGCCCCCGTTGCACCACCCCGGTGAACCCCAAGGAGAAACGCCTAAGAAGACCATCACTTCCTTTCACGAGTTGGCTCAGAAGAGGAAGAAGGCAACTGTGGCGCCTCCCCTTCTCCTGACCAAGAAGGACCAAAGCGATTGGCTGATTGTCTTCTCTCCGGAGACGGAGATGCCTCCGTCTCACCAACTCTCCTGGGCAACCAGGCAGGAGACCAAGCCCCCCACTTCCTCGGGGGAGCCTTCTCCTCCTAGCCTCCAACGCGGGGTCATCACGTTCAAGGACCTCCGCTATCGGAAGCAGAACAGCCAACTGGCCACCAAGGTGGGCAACCCAGGCCCCCAGCGGGCGAGTCCCGCTCAAGGGGTCCCCGACGGTCAGTCCGGGCAAGAGAAGAACGACTCGGAGGCCGCAGCCCATGGGCATTTGTGGGGCGCCAAGGAAATCCCAGCCCGGATGAAGAGGTCTCGGCCGGCTCTACAGCCGATTGTGGAAAGAGGCTGTGAAGAAGGAGAAGACGCGGCGGTCAAGCCGAAACCTCTCGGGAGACCCTTGGAGACTCAACCCCAGGCGAGGTGGGGTCCTGACGTTTCCGGGAAGGCCGAGACGGGCGACAGGAGGGTCCCTACGGGTAAGGTGCTGCCCCTTGTACTGATTGACGGACAGGATTCCCGCGAGCAAAAAAACCGGAATGCGAGCCAGGATTCTGAGAGCAGGAGAGGCTGCTATTTGCGGGTCGTCCTTGGCTTATGACTGCAAGGGAGCCCAAATTTTCCGAGACAGCCGTTAAGTGAGTTTTGCCCCCTTTTACGACCTTCCTCGTTGTTAAGTGAACCGTGCCAGCTTGTTCAATGAGCAACACGGTCGTGTTGATGGTCAGAAGGTCGCAAAAGGGGGATCCCGTGAGCCCAGGGTGGTGGTTACTGCGACCGTCGTAAAGACGAGTCGGTTGCCAAGCGCCTGAATTTTGATCCCGTTGACCACGGGCACGCTGCAGCGGTCGTAAGAGGGGAAAAAAAACAGGTCCCAAGTTGCTTTTCTCAATGCCGGTCACTAAATGAATTGTTGTAAGTTGAGGACTGTCTGTACAGGCAATCGAGGGCAGAAAAACTCCTATTTGTTCCCTCCCCTTCTTCCTCCTGAGGGTGGGTGGGAGTTGGAAGTTTGCCTGTGTGCTAAAGTCGAGGTACAGGTCGTCCTTGACTTACGATGGTTCATTTAGTGACCGTTTTGACGTTGAAGGCATAACAGTGCTGAAGGAAAGGGACGGAGGACCACTTCACATTTTTGACCCTCGTAGCATCCCTGCGGTCAAGCGATCCAAATCCAGGCGGGATGTGTTTACGACGGTAGTCACATCCCGAGGTCACCTGATCCTCACTTGCGACCTTCCCAGCCAGCAAAGTCCGACGGGGAAGTCAGGATTCGCTTAATGACCAATCGGGAAGGGGCAGAGCAGGGAAGGGAGACCGGAGAAAGGGGGCGTGGGAAAACAGGTTACAAAAATTGGGACACGGCCGTACGATGACTCCCTTAACGACCGTGTCGCTTAGCGACGGAAGTTCCGGTCCCAACTGTTGTCGTAAGTCGAGGACTGCCTCTCTTCTGGTTTAAGGAGGTGTGGAAAAAAAAAACCTGGAAAAAATGCTTTTTCCCACTCTGTCAATCCGGTAGGTGAATTTTGGAAAACCGGGATGTGTTAAATTTTGCGAGGCTCCTTTTAAATGTGGGCGATTCTCCCTTCCGTAGGAAGTTTTCTGGCTGAATTTTTTTTTTTTTTTTGGCCAGCGGAAAAAAAGGGATTTTTATCTGGAATTCAGGAATAATCAGGAGCTTATTTAGGAATTCTTTAACAAAAAAATCAGCGGAATTGGATTGGATTTCCTTTCCGTTCTGCTGATTCAAAACGAAATTTAACGTCAGGTTCTTTTTTCCGACCGATTTATAGAATCCCGCCGTGGATTCCGTCAGTCCGGAGCGGAAGGTTGACGCTAACTCTGGATTAAATCCCATCATCCACAGCGCTGAGCCACATGGAAATGAGGAAATTCTTGGGAGGGGGGGTGTTTAAAAAACAAACACACACGCTTTCCCTTCATTTCTTTCTCCATTTCATTCCCTGCCGATGTCCCTTGTGTAAGATCCTTTTCTTTCTCTTGTGATTGTATTTGGGGAGGGGGGGTGAGCTAGAAAAGACTGGGTCTTTTTGGGGGGGGGTGTCAAAATATTAAAAGATCCTGAATGCAAAATCTGACTGAGATTGGAAGCTGAGCCTACCTCGCAGGGTTATGAGTCGATAGAAGGAGGTTTGAACGCCCATCCCATGGCCTCCGAAGAGATTTATAGGAAGAGAAGCAAAATTTTGCTTTCCCACATCTGTAGAGAGCAATTTAACATATATGCCCCAACCTGGCGATGGGCAAATAAAGTTTCTAGTCCCTAGGCTCTTGCCCTATCTAATCTCAACTTATTTTGTGTAGGACAACAACAACAACAACAACAATAATAATGATAATGATAATAATAAAGTTGGAAGGGATCTTGGAGGTCATCTAGTCCAACCCCCTGCTCAGGCAGGAAACCCTATCCCATTTCAGACAAATGGCTATCCAGTCTCTTCTTAAAAACCTCCAGTGATGAGGAAGGAAGGAAGGAAGGAAGGAAGGAAGGAAGGAAGGAAGGAAAACAGAATAGCAGAATAACAGAATCACAGGCTGTCCAGTCTCTTCTTAAAAACCTCCAGTGGTGAGGAAGGAAGGAAGGAAGGAAGGAAGGAAGGAAGGAAGGAAGGAAGGAAGGAAGGAAGGAAGGAAGGAAAACAGAATAGCAGAATCACAGGCTGTCCAGTCTCTTCTTAAAAACTTCCAGTGTTGGAGCATTCACAACTTCTGGAGGCCAGCTGTTCCACTGGCGAATTGTTCTAACAGTCAGGAAATTTCTCCTTAGTTCTAGGTTGCTTCTCTCCTTGATCAGTTTCCATCCATAATAAGGCAATCAACAATAAGATAATAATCATATACCACTTGGAAGGCTAAAAATGCCAAATCCAGTCTCAACAACTGGTTAATTGTGCGACCAGCTATAAGAGTAAGACAATAATTGTAAAGAATAAGAGAAAGAAAGAAAAAAAACAGGAAATTTTTCCTGGGGATTTTTGGCTGGGCTTTTGTTTCCCTTGTTGGTTTTTTTTGGTTTTGATTTTTATTTATTTTTTGTTCGCTTCCTGAATGCTCCTCCCACCCTCCCTGGGAGTAAATTAAATTTTATTGCTTCTCGGGGGAATCACTTTCGCTTTCGTCCTGCTGCACTTCCTCGTTTACCTTTTCCTGCAAACAAACTGGATTGTTTGCAGGCTCGCTTCCTGCCTTTATTTAAGGAGCCAGGGGGAAGGGGGTCTTGGCCGAAAGGACCACAGAACTCGGAATTCAGGAATCCGAATTAGCTGCCTTTACCTGTTTCAGAAAACAGAGAAAGTTCACCAACCTCCCCCCCCCCCAAAAAAGGTAATCCGAATTTAGCTTACTTTGACAGCAGGAGGAGAGCAGCTGAACCTGACAATCGGGGTTAATTGTGGCTTTGCTCTCGTCTTCCTGGTAACCCCCAGTGTGCAAGTGGTCAAATAGAGTCCAGCCCCCCCCGTTTTGCATCAGAGGGGGCTTTTTGACCTCTATATCATGCACGGACCCCCGCCCTCAATTTCTGCCTTGTAGGCTTTGGCTGCAGAGAGTAATAAGGAAGCGGCCACCCAGCCGGGAATGAGGGCGATTGTAGTCCAAATTCCAGGCTTCCAAATGAGGGGGTGGGGTGGAGGTATTGGCTTTGTGGGTGGGTGGGCTGTACCTCCCCCCCATGATATGTCTGTTTTATTGTGGTGTCCAGAATTAACATTTGTTTTGTTTTGTTTTTCTTTTCATATCCTCTCTTCCTTCCCTCCCTCCTGTCTCTGCCATCTGCACCCCGGCTTTCGTACCCCTTTCCTGCTGCTGCTTTCCCACCCCCACTTCTTTCTTTCTGCGTCATCTACACGTTCTCCACCGGCTCCCCAATATCTCTTCCCACCCCACCCCAAAATCCTCCATCCATCTGGGTCTCGCCTAACCCCGGCTGCGCTCTTTCGCGACTCTGATCCGGCTTCTTCGCCGTTTCTCGTCCTTCGTTCCCGCCGCCTGCAGCTCACCAGGTCCCCCCTCGGCCTCGGGGTCTCCTCGTCCCTTTGCCCCTGGCAAGGGGGAAGGCTGCTGGACCCTCTTCTCCCCTTCCCAACCCTCACCGTTTGGAGAAAGCGTCCGAGTTGCCCTCTGACCCTTCGGCGGGGGCCTTTTGTCCAAGGCTGAAGACCCTGTCCTGCGAAGACGTTTGCCTCTTGGCGACCGCGCAGGGACCTATTTTCGAGGCGGTGTCTCCGGATCTCCCCATCCGTCTCTCGCCCATCGGAGCGTACTCCCCCCCGGCTCGGAGCCTGCTCCCCTTCCTCAACAGTCCTGATCTGGCTGTGCTGTTCTCTCCTTTCTTCCCCTCAAGCAAATCCTTCCCCATCTTAGCTTTCCCCACCCACCAGGTGTCCGAGCTGTCACTTGGAGCCCGGGACCCCCTTGGAAAGCAGGGTGGAAAGGGTCCCTGGGGGAGATTCTCTCGGGACACTATGAGAGCCGAGGAGTCGGGAGCCCCTCGCCAACGTAAGCCTCTCCCCCCTTCCTCCATGCCTCTTTGCGATCGGCCCTTCCCAAAGGGGGTCCTGTCTTTTTGAGGGTGGGGGGGAAGGACTCTTAAAAAAGCCAAAAAGGGGGGAGTGGTCTCAGAGAGAAAGCTGGAAAGTAAAAATTAGCCTTCTCCGATTTAATAAATTGAGGTCGGAGAAAATCCACCAAGGTGATCTCTCAACAAGCCTTGGAAATCTCTTCCTAAAGTGGACTATTTAAACCGGAGTTTTCCCAATCTTGGCAAGCTGAAGATGCGTGGACTTCAGCCCCCAGGATTTCCCTGCTGGCTGGGGCATTCTGGGAGTTGAAGTCCACGCAGTCTTCAAGTTGCCAAAGCTGGGAAAACTCTGATTTTAAACATCAGCTTGACCTTACATTGCAAAGGGATGTTCTTGGGACTCGGCTAGTCGCCTGGAATTAACCCAGATGGGCAGAACTGCCTCAAACCCAACCTGACAGTGTCTTTTTCTACGGATCTGGCAACGTTTTAAACAGACACCAGGAAGAGAAGGAAAAGAAGCTCCTCCTGGGATAAAGAAAAAGCAAGGGGGAGTGGGGGAGCGGGGGGGGGGGAAGGAGATTAAATGATTAAATAATTCGTAAATCGTGCCCACAGAGGAGCACGTCAGCCAATTCAGGCAGGTTAATTCTTATGTTCTCCACTTTTTTTTTCTTTTGTCTTTTTCTAGTTCGACATTCTCAGTCCTTTGCTGGGGTCTCACTCCAAGGATGGCCAGCGAGGACAGGAGACGCAGTCTCTACACAGCTTCGACAACAGAAAAAAGGTAAGATTGTAAGTAGGTAGGTAGGTAGGTAGGTAGGTAGGTAGATAGATAGATAGATAGATAGATAGATAGATAGATAGATAGATAGATAGATAGATAGATAGACAGACAGACAGACAGACAGACAGACAGAGACAGACAGACAGACAGACAGGGAAGGAAGGAAGGAAGGAAGGAAGGAAGGAAGGAAGGAAGGAAAGAAGGAAGGAAGGAAGGAAGGAAGGAAGGAAGGAAGGAAGGAAGGAAGGAAGGTATGATGGAGATATTAGATAGATAGATAGATAGATAGATAGATAGATAGATAGATAGATAGATAGACAGAGAAGGAAGGAAGGAAGGAAGGAAGATATGGAGATATTAGATAGATAGATAGATAGATAGATAGATAGATAGATAGATAGATAGATAGATAGATAGATAGATAGATAGATATCACCCATCTGTTTCTTCCTAGCACTGCTGATGGCCGTCAGTGCTTCCGTGGACAAAATCGTGGCTCACTTCAGCACTGCCCGGAACCTCGTTCAAAAGGTCAGTTCAGTGCCGTAACTATTGAACGGTCACTAAATGAACGGCTGTAAATGGAGGACTGCCTGTACGCACAACGGAATAGAGGGCGACATCTAAGTGGGGCACAAAACGTCTTTTTTGGAAATGCCTGAATTGTGTGTATCACACAACAGCCTTTCGCAGTTCGGCCAAGGTTACCATGTGGGCTTTTATTTGCCTCCTGGGATTAAAAAGGTGGGCGGGCAGGATGTGCGTGTTAATTAGGATATGCTAATTAGCAATTAGCTGAGGAAGGGGGGAGCTATTGGCTCTTCCCCAGCTGCCAGTCGCTGGCACCGTCCTTTCCCTCCCACCACAGGCTCAGCTGGGCGACAGCCAGCTGACCCCCGAAGTGGGGCATTTGATCCTCCACACACTCTGCCCCGCCTTGCACGCCCTGGTGGGCGACGGCCTGAAGCCGTTTCAGAAGGACGTCATCACAGGATACCGGCCCAGCTCTCCATGGAGCGTCGTCGAAGCTTCGGCCAGGCCGGGTAAGTAGTGGTGTTTGGGGATGGGAGGTTAAGAGAAGCAGTGAAGGGAGCAGAAGGGACTATGTTGGGTGGATTGTGGTCCCTGTTTGTGTGTGTGTGTGTGTGTGTGTGAGAGAGAGAGAGAGAGAGAGAGAGAGAGAGAGAGAGAGAGAGAGAGAGAGAGAGAGAGAGAGAGAG